TATTTTTTTATTTTATTTTTTATTTTATTTTTAGACAGGGTCTTGCTCTGTCATCCAGGCTAGAGTTCAGTCGCACCATCATAGCGCTCTGCAACCTCAAACTCCTGGGCTCAAGGGATCTTCCTGCCTCAGCCTCCTGAGTCAGGCTGGTCTTAAACTCCTGGCCTCAAGTGATCCTCCTACCTCGGCCTCCCAAAGTGTGAGGATTACAGGCATGAGCCACCCCACCCAGCCCCCCACAGTGATATTTTTATAATAGCTTTATTGAGATATAATTCACACACCGTACAGTTCACCCATTTAAAGTACACGTCGGTGGTTTTTAGGACATTCACAGCGTTGTGCAACTATCGCCACAGTCAATTTTAGAATGTTTTCATTACCCCAAAAGGAAACTCCATACCCATTAGCAGTCACTTGCCATTCTCTTGTCCCCTCCGCTTCTGACACAAATATATTTTCTGTCTCTATGGATTGGCTTATTCTGGACATTTCATGTGAAGGGAATCATACGACATGTGGCCTTTTGTGACTGGCTTCTGTCACTCGGCGTGTTTCAAGGTCCGTCCACATCGCAGAGTGTGTCAGTCCTTCGTCCTCTTCCATCGTGTAGATTTACCGTGATGTGAATGAGCGTTTGGGTGGGTGCCGCTAGTTGGCTGTCACGAATGATGCTGCTATGAACATACATGTACGAGTTTTTTCCTTTTTTTCCACAGTGCTTTTTGAGTTGGGAAAAATCAGACTTAACAACCTAACTAAATTCTGTGGCTTTTCGTTTAAAATGCAAGCAACTCGCTTGAGGTACAGAACCTGGGGCCAGAAGAGAAGCCCGCGGCCTGGCCTGGCCTGGGGTGGGGCCAGAGCGCGGCGCTCAGCGCGTGTCCCCCGCTTCCCTTGCAGAGAGCTGCTGCGCTGCGAGGCCGCGCTGGCCAGGCTCTACTGCCGCATGGCCCTGCTCAATATCTTCGCCCCCAAGTTGCCTCACCTGTTCACCCGCCTCTTCCACATCCCTGCCGTCCGGGATATCACCCTGGAGCACCTGCAGCTGCTGTCCAATCAGCTCCTCGCTCCTCCCCTCCCAGGTAACACTTGGCTTTGCTGCTGTCGCTCCCAAACTCGGCGCCAGAGTAGAACGGCCCTGAGAACACACGAGGCCCAGGTGGGTGTCGTGCTCATGTTATCCCATGTTCTGCGCGAGGGGGAGGGAAACTCGGGCTCCCTCCGCTTAGGCTGCCGCGGGGACACTGCACCAGGGAACGGGGATTCTCTTGGCAGTGCTTTCTCACTCTTTGCAAAACGTAAGTATGTGACCTCACTGTAGTCATTCATCTGTTAAGCATTCGTTAAGTTTCCCAAGCGAATTGTGGATCGAGGAAAATTAAGTGTTTACTATGAAACCTAGTCACTGTGTCATTGCCATAGACATTCTATTTGGCATTGGAAAGAAAGGAAAATGGCTGGGCACAGTGGCTCATGCCAGTCATCACAGCATTTTGGGAGACCGAGGCAGGAGGATCACTTGAGAATGGCCTGGGCAACAAAACAAGACCCTGTCTCTACGAAAAATCAACAACAATGAAAAGGAAAACATTCCTGTTATCAAACTCGTCCGAAGCAGATATTCCACTCATCTGACTTGGGGTGGAGCTGTGTCGATGGCCCAGCCTGTGTGCCCATCCCAGGGCTGTGTGTGCTCCCCTGGTGAGCGCCAAGTGATGAGTCTGCCCACGGCCCAGTCCAAGATCAGGGGCCCTCTGTGTCTTTCTGTGGCACCTTAGCTTCCAGCCTGCTCCCCTTGGTCTCCTAGCAACTAAGATGGGATCAAGAGGTGAGGCAGGCAGGGGGCACCCTCCCAGACCCGCTTGCACACAGCACTGTCTCTCAGGCAGCTGCCTTTCAGCTGCACGTGGCGCGCTACATCTCCTCAGCCGGTTTGAGCGGCTGGATCCACCAGCCCATCCCAAGAACTCAGAGCTCTGAAGCTGGAACATACCTGGAAGCTTAAAATGTCATGGAAGAAGCTTTGCTGTGGTGACCTCACATGCCCCTTTACAGACTGCACTTGGGCACCCAAGCAGTTCCTTGATGCAGCTCAAGGTGGGCCAGGGCAGCCGAATAGGCTCTGGGAACCCCTGAGTCCAAGCAGCCCCACGGTATCTGTTTCATAGACTTGGGCCTCTACCTAAGATTTCATTTTAGAAAACAGTTCTGCTAAAAAGAAAGCAGAAGTTGGAAGATCACTGATCCCCAAGTCCCCTCACCCCCTTCCCCGCCCAGAGGATCTGATTGGTAATATCTGTTAGCCAAGATAGCCTGGCCAGTGCAGGCTGTCTGGGTGGGTTGTTGGCTGTCTGTCATTAGGCTCTCCCACCTGCTGGCTGCTGTGGTTCCTGTCAACTTCTGTCTCCTTTCTGTCCCCAGATGGCACCATCAGCTCCAGCTCGATCCTCCTGGCGCAGTCTCTGCAGCACTGCATCCATTCCCAGAACTGCTCCGCCACAGACCTGTTTTACCAGGGCAGCTCCCAGACGGTGAGGGAGTGGCTCAGTGTGGCCATCACCCGGACCCTGCACCAGGGCGAGGACAGCCTTTTGGAGCTGACGAAACAGATCTGTTCTTTCCTGCAGGTAGAAATCTATAAAGCTGATGTCCCTGAGCTGTGGTTACCATTTTTTTTTTAAATGTTAATAATAAAAAAAAAACCAGTCAAATTTAGCAGTGGGGGGTTGAATACCAACTTTAGTGACACTAATGTTAATAAGTTCGGATAATAATAAGTTAATAAGTTCTGATAACTACCACTGGACCAGCCAGGTTACCATTTTTAATTGGAAGTTTTATTGGCTTGCTAAAAATGACTCTCCTTTCTCCCCCAAGCCACCCTTCCCATCAGTTTCCTTTTCTTAGAACCTCTTCTGCTTTGTCTCATCTGTAGCTTCCTTCCCTCTGGAGGGCTTTTCTGTCCCTCTGACTCTATCGCAATACGGGCCGTGGCCCATCCCTTTGCCTCCCTTGTGTTTAGCCCTTGGCTTTCCTCATTAAACGTCTCTTTGCAGACAGCACCAGAGCAGTTCCCCTCCGAGGAGTTCCCGATTACTGAGTCCAAAGTCAATATGGATGTTAATTTCCCCGGGGCGGCCTTTGTCGTCGTGTCTTGCAAAGAAAGTCAGTCTGGATTCCGCAAAGAGTAAGTTGCCCATTCTCAAAAAGATGGTGATGGGGAGAGAAAAGAAAAGCCAAATAGATTCTGCTGAAACTGGCAGAGGAAAACCTCAAATTGTTTCTATTCTTTAATGCAAATGATTATGGTTCTTTCCATATTCCCATGTTTGGGGAATTAGTCTTCATGAGGAATAAGCTTCTAAAATGTAGTGGAAATGACTCATGCCCAGTTCTCATTTAACTTCCTCTGGTGAGAAAGCGTTGCTCCCTCTCCCTGGTGCACGTGGCTGGGCTCTGCGGTAACGTCCATCCCTCCTTCTCAGCTCCTCTCTGTACAAGGCGCCGTGGGCTCGAGTGCTCGTGTATGGCCTTGGCCACAAGGTGAAGCGAAATGGCCAGCTGAACCTCATTGAGGCTGCCTGCTACCCACGGGACGCGTCCCCCGCCAACACTGGGCTCGCACCTCCCCCCACCACTGACCAGTACCCCTCTGTGGTCCTCTCCACGGACAGGGTGCACATCAAACTGGGTGAGTCTCCATCAGCTCATGGCGATGAAAACAGCTGGGAGTCATTCTTTGCTTACCTCCTTTTTAAAGATTCAAGTAATTTTTTACCTTGCATTTTCCAATTCCTGTTGATAAAGAATAGGTCTGCTTGGTGCAGTTTTAGAGGCAGAGGATTAAAAGACCTCCCTTTCCTACCTGGGGAAGGCCTGGAAGAGGGTGCCCAGACCGCAGTGGGGCTTTCCTTTCTTTTCATACATGTGCACTGGGATGCTTGCTAGTTAGCGTGATCTAAACAGGGCAGTCTCACCCTTATGGCCAGTTCAGGCTGCGATAATCCCAGTTGCCTCTCCTGAGTCCTGACCCTGGCCACAGTGGGCATCTGCTCTCGCCTCCCAGGTGGCTTTTGTGAAGCCTCACAGTTTTAGAGTTAGATGAGGGCTCTGCTCTGTAAACCCTGAAGCTGTCACTGCCCGTCCTCTGTACGAAGCCAGCTGCCTCCGAGTATGCACAGAAAGGAAAGGAAATCTCAGTCACTTCCACTGCTCGTCTTTGGCACGTTTCACAAGAAGAGGCTAACGTGTTTGCCAGAGTCAGAAGATATAG